TGCAAGTTCATTCGTAAGAGCAAATGTAAAGCAGTGAAAAGACAGCTCAAAAAAGGCTTGATTAACTTTTTACAAATACCATGTCTTGTTATTTAATACCAGATACGTGCACTACCAGATCACCTGGCAGTACAATTTTGATCTGCATTGAGCATAAGCTCACCCGTAGGTCTCTGGGGCAGAGCAAAACAACGTTGACGCTGAATTTGTACTAGCTATATGCTGGTTGAACCAATGGCATTTTACCCAGTATAGATAAAGTAAAAATGGTGTGAAGAGATTATGCCAAACCTATAAGAAAGAAAAATGCTTCTAAATCCTAGCAGTGACTTATTTAAAAAAGCTGTTAGGTGCAGTACATTTAATATAATACCTACATATTATGTCAACATGTATATATTACTTAACATTAACAAGCAACAACTGAGGCTGCTTGTATGTTAAAGATTTTTTTTATTTTTTTTTTCATCCACACTCCTGTTCTCAACATACTAAGCTTCTGAAGCAGGATGCATCTACGAAAGATTCCTTGGCAGACAGAGGAAGCAGGGACTCAACCAGTGATCCCTTGGATGCCTTTCTCTGGCCCCATTTGATGCATTGTGTTGTAACTGCAAATTAGTTAATTGAAAACACAATCTTTACAAAGCCTCCTGACATTTACACTTAGAACAGAATTGCTCTAGTAGACTGACATGACTTGCACGCTTTATTATTATATTTGGGCAAATCCACAATGTGCAACTAAACGTGATGCAGAGATCTGCAAGCAAAGACTTGGCCGAGCTCGTACACTTGCACAGCAGCACTGAACAAAGAAGTCCTGTGCCTTTGCTGCTATGTCAGTGCCTGAGCCAAAAATGCCAACCCTCTCAGCCAGGTTTTTAGCCTCCAAGTATCTTCATGCTGCTATGCCTGGCCCTGAAACTAGTATATTTGGCACTGTACTCCTTCTTGTTGGAAAGGAATACTCTCATCCTGCCTGAAGGGTGGTGATGAAACATCACAAGTGTTTGACTTTTCTGGTTATATGGTGTGAGATAACTGGAATAATGAAGGAGAAATTATCAAGAAAAAAAAGCTACGAAAAGTTGGAGGCTAATTGTTAAAAACCCTTTCCTCTCAGCACGAAAACCACACTCAACTCTATATCCACAAGGCTTTAATTTTTCCTACTCCCTCAGATTTAATCTACTGAAATGCCAGTGAGCCATCTAGAAAACTATGGAGGGAAAATTCAGTCTTACCTTTGACTAATTCTTTTCCTGTACTCACTACCTTTGTTAATGTAATGGGTCTGCATTTATCTACTTTTTAAAATAAGTAGAATTATGGCTGTAATCCAGTTGCAGAAAATAGTACTACTTAGTGTAATAGCAAAGTACTCCTTTAAAAATTTGAATAAGCCAATGGAGCAAGTAAATTAATAAACAAACAAGTAAATAAATGGTAGGTGCAACCAATACATATTGTTCTCATGTTTTTCAGTTTTACAAAATAAACAAATAAATAATTTGAAATTTACCAGTTTCCTTGCATGGCATTTAAGGCAGAAGTAAGGGTAAGCACAGGGTGCTTGCTTTGTTTGTTAACTTGACATCTTAAAAGATTTCAGAGCTGTGCAAAACAAGCAGGATTTTCCTTTTTTTTTTTTTTTTTTTTTTTAAGTCCAGCTAAGCAAATCCAGGCCGGGTAAAAGTCCATCAAAAAAGGAAGTCCAGCATTCTAAGCTGTGTCTTATTTGGTAGGAAAATGTTACATGCTTACTTTTATGTGAGGCCTGTTATGCTATCTTGTGTCCATGCTTCTTGTGCCAAATCAAGAGGTCATTAATATTAGTGTTTCATTTTAAAAGTTTCTCCTGTATTTTACAGCAAAATTTAAGACAGTGCTTTACTTTCATAGGAATGGAATTGAACCATTAACTTCTAGTTCTGGGGACTACGTCTCTGGAATACAATCAAACTGTGTAATGAAAAGTCTTACATAATGCATGCACAAATATTAAATCCTTACAATGCAAAGCAGACCACCTACCATTCTTTAAAGAGAATTTAAAGAAGGCAATTAAGTACGTTTTATTATTATGGCAAAGATGATTCTGGCAGCGCCAAGTACTTACGCCTGCTTCACAAATACAGAAAATTGCAACAAAGACAAAGGAAGCCTAGAGAAATGAAGAACTGTGATTGTTAACTTTTTCTCCTGCTTTCTTTAGGGTATTCTGGAGCGCTTAGATGGTGGAGAAATTGTGATTGGAGATGGAGGATTTGTCTTTGCTCTTGAAAAGAGAGGATATGTAAAAGCTGGGCCTTGGACTCCTGAAGCAACAGTAGAACACCCAGAAGCAGGTCAGTTTTACGAGGAACTGATAATCCTGTAATGAATGTAAACACAGTTGATTAAATAAAAATTATAGAGGAGCTTCTACTAGGTTTTTGTATAGAACTGTTTCTTGACACTGTTGAATGACATTGTTTAAACTAGCCTAATAATCTGTAAACCAAATGCTCATCTTACCCCTTTTTCTTGCTCTCAACACAGGCCAAAAGCAGTTTTCTGAGTAAGAATATGAGTAGTGAGAACATATAGTGATACCTTTCCAGGATGCTCTCACAGACTTCAATAATTTGCAGCCCAGGGTGTTTTTGAGCCAGATGTAGTATCTTTGTATTTAATAATGATTTCTCTCTCACAGATTTGCCCAATCTGTCTGTGAGCTTGTATAAAGCTTATAATTTAAAACATCTTATAAAAAAAGAATTCTGCATTAAACTATCTGTTTTCCAGCTATTCTAGGACTTCCAGATTGTTATACATTAATATAGCTTGTTAACTATTTTTTTCTGGAAAATAGCAGATTTTAATAAACAATGGAATGGAAGAGGAGCATTTAGTGGATCCACTGTGAAAAGAGTAATGATAAACCTAAGAACTGCAATAAACATTTAATGGAGTAACTCACTTAAGGCGGAGGGAGACAAAACAAGGAATCATTTTATGTCTTCCAGCATAAGGATTATAGTGTTTAGCATAAGTAGTGCAAAAGCAGATGCTAATATCTATTCATGTATGCTTCACTACAAGAATTTGTCCTGGTAATATGATGTGCCACAAGCTGATGGGTAATATCCTGGGGTAAAAAAAAATTATGTGGTCTGTTTTAAGTGTTTTCCCTTCTAAATTAGTCTTTTTACTGTGCACAGAGGGAAGAAGGAGAGAGGTATTACCCCTCTGTATTATGTTGCTTTGTGCACCTTACCCATTTATTCCCCCTAATCCTTTTCATCCTTCAAGGGTCACTTTACATGTAGCCTGTCTAACTTAGGGTCACAGACATCCTTAGATAATGTAGAGTTCTAGCAAAGGTTAAAAGGTTGATAACCTAATTTGCTGACTCTTGCCTCTGTAAAAAACATCCCATCACTTCTGCTTCTGTTTATCTTCAACCTCTACATTTATCTTCCCCTACCTGTTCCATCTTACAAATCCTAGCATTTATTCCATGCTCTTTACTTTGCCTTTGCTTACTTTGCACCTCAAAAGCCCTTGACCCTCTCTCTACATGTTCTTTCATGAAGTGCAGGTCTCAGTCCATGGGAATGCACAAGACATTGCCTTATATAAAGGTAGTTGCAGATGGCATAAATAGGCTAAATTGGCACATAGTTTGCTTAAATAAGTGATCAGTAGTCATGGGTTAGAATCCTGCTGTATAAGAATTGCTACTGAGTTGATAGACCATATTGCTCATGTCTGTAACATAGTTATAAAATTTTTATAAACCTTACAGGCTATTTATAAACACACCCTTGGCTGGAAATGTATTTGTTTTAGTGCAGTGTGCTGCCTCCCCTACATTACTGCTTTTTGCTCCTGCATGCTCAAGAGTCATGTTACTTTGCAAGCAAGTGCAAAGAACAGAAGGAGCAACTGGGTGAGCCAGCTGGTGTAAACCATACGACTACCAGACCTTCTTGTCTATGTAAACGAGAGAGAAGGAGGAAAGTCCTGAGATGAAAAATGAAAAAAAAGAGTGAGTTAAAGGCCACTGTCTCCATTACAAAAAAGGAGAAGTTTTAACAGGCAGACAAGTTTAGAAATGGGATCTAAATATTTCTTCTGAGCCAGGTTAGTTATTGCTCTGCAGTGAGCAACATGCAGAGATACTTAAGTGCCCCATCTCCTGTCTGTGTCCACCAGCTTGTGGTGGATTGAAATGAAAACTCAGTGTTATACATCTGACTTCTAAAATGCATGAAATTGTTAATAGTTTAGCCTCATATGTGGGTTATATCCCCATTTCTCAAATACTGGAGGAAAACACAGCTTCATGCTGGAAGTCACACGATAAATAAATTACAGTGGTTTGGTGTTTTGATAGTGCAGACTGCTGTGGGCTTGATCACAGTAACAGCATATTCTACTGGTAAAAACTATTTGCCTGGGATTGAGTAAGATTCAGTCTGATGCTTGAAACACTATTCTTTCCCTCAAAATGTAGACTCATGCAAGAGTCTCCTATTCACATACCTGATAGTTTGGGATACAGAGTTCCTTATTCCTATGTGTTAGTTTATGTTTCATTTGCCTACCTGTGTGACAGTCCTTATTCACACAGTTACCAAACATTATTCTAGGAATGAAAGAATCATATTTAGAGAGCATTAACCATAGGGGTAAACAAATCTGATTTATTATGGAAATATCATACAGCATTTGTGGAAAATATTTCTAGATTCTTTTTTTCATTTTCCCATTTCTTGACTAGTTTTCATCAATGTTTTCTCATGAGAAGAATAGAAAAAAAACATTAGAAACAGCCAGAGACAGCCCTTTCAGTTGGGATCAGTAGCCTATTCTAATGCTGTGGGGAGAAGAATACTCCCTGCATTAGGAATGTTTTGATTTCGTGTAAAGGTTGTAAAACAAATTTGATCCTGGCAGTTCAGGCATTTTGAAATTGCAGAGACGTTTTGAACTGTAGCCCTGCTATAATCTTTGTGCCTGCATAGGTCTTCCTTTGTGACTGCTGTGAAAAGAAGCTTTTTCTTAAATTATACTGTGTTACTCAAAGAATTAGAAATTAAATACTGTACTAGTAGAGAAAAGTGAGGGACACTACACGGTTCCTTCACTGAAAGCAGACGTGCTTGTTGTGTGCACAGGTGGCAGCAAGCAACTCAAGCTGCTGTTTGAGCTTCTCTGGCATAGAAGGCTGTGTTTTTTGCAGCTGAAGGAGGAATTTTATTCTTGTGACACATTCACACATTTCCCCAATAACACAGGATGTCTGTAGACAATGAGGAATGATAAGCCAGGACTTCAGGAAAACTTCTCCAAGCATCTGCCCCAGAAACTGCAGTATTTGTGTGTCTGTATACAGTATCTAGGGAACCAATTATTCCTGAATTTGCTATAAGCTATTGGGCATTTTAACTCTGTTTTACATGATCAGTAGCATTCTAGAAATTACTGTAATTTTTGTTTTCTGGGTATGTATATAAAATCAACTGACAGCTCCTGGTTTGTTCCTGCTGTGGCAATTGCAGTGTACTGCTTAAAGCGAAGAACGCAGAACTACAGAGACCACTCCCAAAGTCCTAATGCAGGAAATTCGTGCATTAAAAGTAATGCCAATGTTTCCTTCAAAAGAAGTTTTGGGTCTGTAGTAAAATCATCATGTGCTGCCTTATGAGAAGAATTAACTCTGTGCTGTGAGTCACTTTTCTGGAGTAACAAATAATCTTTCAATTAAGCATGCATTTAGCAAACCAGAGCTTTTGTTTTGGCTGACTAGACTCAGCTAGAGTTTTATAGGGGGAGGAAACCAGAAAATACAGAAGAGAGCAGGTAACACAACACTTTATTCTTGAATATAAATAGAATCTTGTCCTTCAATTTATTGCCCCAATACTTTTTTTCTGTTTTCTTCTTCATAGGCTAGAAGCTAAGAAAATATGGCTGTTTCATTTTATGATCTATCTGGTATTCCTTGTTATGCTTTCACGGTCTTTTCTCAGGTGTCTGCTTTCCTTTCCTAAACCACTATGCAGTTCTATAAAGTGAAATTTGGAGGTCCTATGGACTGCAGAAAGTAGAAAATCTTCAGTTATTCTTGGCAGAGAATAACTAAGGAGGAAGTTTTTTACCTAATGTTCTGAAATTGAGAAGGAAGGAGTTCTACGCAGTCTGGAGTACTGCATCAACTCTCTCCTAATGCCTTTTCTAGCAAACAGTGTCACTTATTTTACAGAAACAATATTCCAATAAATATTTAAATTTGGGATAACAACAATAGTAACTGTACAAAACTTCTTTTCTTTGCCTCTTTTAATTCTTTGCAGTCCGTCAGCTTCATCGGGAGTTCCTCAGAGCTGGATCCAATGTTCTGCAAACATTCACCTTCTACGCCAGTGAGGACAAACTGGAGAACAGAGGCAATTATGTAGCTGAGAAAATAAGTGTGAGTAAAACACTGTATTGATGGACATATGAAATAAATGGATCATTTCAAAAGTTTTAGTAGGGAGGTTATCGAGTACTTTCACAGTTTGTTGTAACATACCAAGGACCAAGGAATGAGATTATGCAATTTTAGCATTTGTGTTGCAAGGAAGAAAAGGTTAAAGGACAAATAAATAAAGATAAAGAACAAAGAACAAAATAGGGCAAGAGTGAAAATAGGAAAGAGAAGGTTCACATAATATTTTTTCCATCTGAGGAGATCAGTTTACTGGAGTTTTGATACAAAGAGTATAGGGAAGACTAAATGCACAGAGAGAAAAATCAGGTGAAAAAAAAATGGTTTAACATCCAAAGAAACAAACCAACTGCAAGAATGGTGTAGAATCCTAGAAGAAAATAAATGGCTAATGAGAATGGAATGGTTTTCTGAACCATGTCTTCAATAAAGTAACAACTGGAAAACCTAAGCTATATACTGTGGTCAATATTCCTCTTCTCGTGTAAGGGTCATCTGTTAACAGCAACAGAAGTAGCATGTTAGTGTTTTCTTAATCCACGCACAAAGGAGTTGTATGATAATGGGTGTGCTCACTAGATACAGGCCCAGTTCTGCTGGAACTTCTGGCACAAACATTTATAGATTTGCCATAGAGTGTTTTCTCTGATCCTTTCTCCTTTGGACCTATTGTCTATTTCAGCCTCTGCAATGTAGAGATGATTCTCCATGGGCCAGGAAGGAAGGAGTATCTCTGTATCTGTGAAGATATCCCAAGTCAGAAATCAGAGCAATCTGGACACTAGGGAAAAACTCGAGTATTGATTAAGATGTCCTATCAAAATGTCATGACCAAATTCATCTAAAATGCTGCACCTTTATGTTCAATATACGCAACATTGAAATGTCTGAAGCAGTAGACCCAGAAACACACTGCCCGAGGAACAAACGCTGCTGCAACTCTTGCTCCCACGCAAAATGTTGAGGGCTGGGACAGCACCTAGTATTGGGAATGCATTCCAGCAAAGCTTTCAGGATGGATTTGCTGCCAGTTCTAGAAGCAGATTCATCCAAGCTTTAACTGGTTTATGGCTCTGCCTACTGGAGCTGCCAAACATTTACCTGAGGACAAGTGGAAATGGAAGACAATCTGCAATGGCATTAAAAATTAGCTGGGTCTTCTGAGGCAGTTGTGCAAAAGTTGCAGCTGAGATAAACTTATGTGGATTCTAACTAGTCCCTGGGCTGAAGAGAAACCTGCTCTAATCAGTACTTGTTATCTATCCCAAATAATGATTCCTTTCCCAAAATATTTTTTTTCCCAGTTTAACCTCTTTTTCTCAAGCTGTTCTACTCATCCTGATATAGGTATAGAGGGAATGTGTCTTTCATTATAGGTGATTAGTTAATCACATATAGTGACAAGTTTCCCCTTACTATTCTTAAATTGGTAATTTTAACATCAGATAATTAATGAGTTTTAAAAGCTTTAAATAATTATATGAATATTATCTCTTAAATTTTGAAAACTACTGAAATACTAAAATACATTAAAAAAAAAAAAAAATGGAAAACTGATTGAAATTGCTGCATGGTTTTTTTTCCACCCACAAAAAAAGTCAGAATAGAAGAATACACTCAAGCATTACCAACTTATTTTCTAAGAGGCAAAGAAAATTCCACTTCATGCCAAATATTTGCTCTTTATAGACTATTTGTGTAAGATGTATTTATCTTTTTTTTTAATATTGATAAAATGATAACTTAGAGGTGGCAAGAAATTAGTTTCCTGTTGTTTGGGATTTTTTTGAAATGCTCTAATTTTCCTAATCAATATTATTTAAAGATCCATTTAAATGAGAAAAGAGTATGTAGAAGCCATTATGGCTTTTGAGTCTTTTCGTGCTCTTAAAGTACATGCATATCTCTTGCCAGGTAAAACTGACATAATCTATATTCAAACAGTGCCAGAAAGTGAATGAAGCTGCTTGTGACATTGCAAGAGAAGTGGCTAATGAAGGCGATGCTTTAGTGGCTGGAGGAGTCAGCCAAACACCATCATATTTAAGCTGCAAGGATAAAGCAGAGGTGAAAGCAGCCTTCCGAAAGCAACTAGAAGTCTTTATGAAGAAGAATGTGGACTTCCTTATTGCAGAGGTAAATTTGTAAAAAAGCATATGGCTTAAACTGGCACAGTGTTAACTTTAAGCTGTCTAGTCTATGTTAGGGAGTAGAAAAGTTTTCTATTATCTTGTTGTTCCATTAGTAGTAGGTGTTTTTCTAAATGCAGAACAGCATCTGCAAGTGTTCTAGAAAAGGATGTTGAAACCTAAATTTGTACTTCAGTCAAGTCAAATTCTGTACTAGTACAAGGAGGATAGATTAATGTGATCTTGACTAGTTCCTGTTTCCCTCCATACACTGTAAGCAATCAGCCTAAGGTGACTTTTCTAGATGAAAATAGTTCTTTGAGGATTTAACCTGGATTATCTTCCAGTATGGGCATTCTTACTCTGAAGGAAGAGTATAATTACTTTTATATAGTTATACTTACCGACTTTCAAAAATTCGTTCTTAACTCTGTGTTCAGTGAACCCAATTGAATTCTGCTAGTGTAAATAAGCAAAGGATCAAGTAACTGGTGAATTTGAATATGTTTATGCTTCATCTCCAAGAAAAAAAAAAAAAAATATTTCTTTCAGTATTTTGAGCATTTTGAAGAGGCTGTCTGGGCAGTTGAAGTTCTAAAAGAATCTGGAAAACCAGTTGCAGCTACAATGTGCATTGGTCCGGAAGGAGACATGCATGGTGTGCCCCCTGGACAATGTGCTGTCCAGCTGGTAAAGGCTGGTAAGAATCTGGCTTAACATACCCTTTTAAAGTATGGAACAAAGTAAAGCTTTTAAGTATTGAGATAAATAAATGTGTATCTCAAGTAGGTAGGTTCCCAATTATTTCTGATAAAAGTTTTGGCCTTTTAAAAAAGATTTTTGGGAAAAAAAAAAAAAAAA